TTAGTTCTTGTGTCTGAGCCAGTGAAGCTTCTTCGGCATCTTAGAGACACAAGTATGGTTAAGTATGTTTGTTACAAAGGCTTTGGGCAGGTGTATGCTGTTGTGTAGCTGTAATGTCTGTCTGCTCTGTAAAAACAGACTGTGTGCATATCATTTTGTCCTGCCCAAGTATGCTTGGTAGAAATAGAAGAAACAAGCAGGTTTTATGTGGTCGTGTCTTGATGCTGTTAAGGCTATAATATGTCATCTGTATAATCACCCACCCTGTAGCCTTTAAGCAGGTAGTTACTGAGCAGATGAGATGACTGTTTGGCAACTTGGCAGCTTTTTTTATTGGCGGAGAAACTATGCTCTGCTTATCTGCTCTGTGTCTCCCCAGAGGAGCCACTGTTGCATGCCATTGTGTGAAACCTCCCGTGGGAGGCTTAGAGCTGGATGTGTTCACAGTTATTGCTGGCATTCACCAGAGGTTTTGCTGCCGTAGGGGACAGAATACTGTTTAAGCTATGTATACATTAAAAAAACAAACAAACAAACAAAAAAAAACCAGTTTACTGTGCAACTCCATACTTCTCTCTGGTGGCTTTTCTTATCTCTCTGTTCTTTAACCTGCAAAGAAAGGGTGTTAGACAACTCATCAGACTTGATTGGTGTGACCTGAGCTTAGCAGAAGCTTGCACGTGAATTAAGGAATGAGGTAATTACAAAAAGGAAGCAGCTTTACCAAATCTGTATGCTGCAGTCTTAAACTAAACTGAAGAACACCTGTGTTCCACCTGCCTGGGCTTCTTTGCTCCCTGAAAGGGAGTATAGCATCCATCAGCTGTGAGACTATAATGACGTGCGAGGAAACAAATTGCCAAATCCCTGGCTGGTGAAAATTGTGGTACGGTTACCCTGCTTCCTCCATGACTGTTTGGGACAGCATGTGCTGTTCTTCTAAATGTATTTGGTGAGCCTGTGGGTATGTGCACTAAAGCCTTTTCTTACGGTGCCACTGCCTTCTTTCTACAGGCTTTATTATCTCTATAACCACTGGGTTATGCGAACAGCCACCTACTTCTTCATCTTTCTCAACCTGTCCCTCGCACTGTTTGAAGAACCTGCTGTGTACCCGCTCCCCTTCCTGGTAAGTCTTCAGTGTAGAAGCAGCAATGCAACTAGTACTGCGTTAGTTGGTAGAGCGAGCAAGGGTTTCTTGCTTGAACCTAGTTGTCAAATGTGTCAAGGGGTGATTGATGCTGATATTTCTGTTGATATCTTTGATCTACTGAAATGGGGACAAAAACGGGCATAGAAGCTAGACAGGGACTATGGGAGCCTTCATGGCAGCCAGCAAAGGCTGATGTGACTGCGGACAAAGTCATGGTGAGTTTCTGCATCTCGGAGAACAATTCCAGCCTTCTACGTGACTCAAGTCTGATCCTTGTGTCTGAAAGCAGAAGTGGAGTGTTGCCCTTAAGTCTGGCTTTTCTGTAGCCTTTATTTGTTCTGTACTGGTGTATTTGTGAGAAGGTTGCTCCTGGAATCCTAAGCAAATACAAATTTACTGGCTTTAACCTGCCTGTGGCAGGGAATTTCACAAAAGGGAGCCTGAAACTATTGCTCAGTGCCAGACATGTGAGCCTGTAAAATAGCCGATAGCAAAACCCACTGGAAAAACTTTTATACTGATTCTGCCTGGCTCTTGTTTGCCTGTAGCCCAGCCTGGACATCCTCATCTTGTGTGAAGAGGGCTAGCGTTGCTCTTGGTTGTCCTG